ATTTCAATTTAAATTTTTTCATTGCTGAGAAATACAAATGCAATTGATTTTTGTATGTTGATCTTGTATCTTGCAACCTTAAACTCACTTATCAGTTCCAGTAGCTTTTTTGGAGATTCCATTAAGTTTTCTACGTGGAGGATCATGTCATCTATAAATAAAGGCAGTTTTATTTCTTCCTTCCCAATCTGAATGCCTTTTTTTTTTTTTTTTCTTTTTTGGCAGCTGGGATGCAAACCCTTGACCTTGGTGTTATCAGCACCATGCTCTAACTGAGTGAGCTAACTGGCCAGCTCTCCATTTATTTCTTGTTATTGTCTTATTGCACTAACTAGAACCTCCTGTAGAAGGTTGAATAGGTGATGAGAGCAGACATCCTTGCCTTGTTCCCAGTCTTATAGGGAAATCATTTAGTATTTCACCATTAAGTGTGCTGTGAACTAAGGTTTTTGTAGACGTTTCTCATAGGCTGAGGATTCTGTTCCATTCCTAGTTTGCTAGGAGATATTATCAAACATGAATATGGGATTTGTATCAAATTAATCATTAGGAAAATGCAAATAAAATGCCAGTGAGATAACACTACATACCTACTAGAATGGCTAGAATTTAAAAGGCTGATCACATGAAGTGTTGGAAAGGAACTGGAACTGGAACAACTGGAACTCTGGTTCACTACTGGTGGGAATGTGGTACAACCACTTTGGAAAACAGTTTGGCAGTTTCTTAAAAATGTATTTACCCAAGAGAAATGAAAGCACATGCCCACACAAAGACCTGTACATGAATGTTCACAGTTGCTTTATTTGTCATATCCAAACATTGGAAACAACCCAAACATCCATCAACGGGTGAATGGGTAAACATTTGTGGTATATTCATACCACATACCAGAAATAAAAAGAAATGAACTATTGACACCTAAAATAATGTGGATGAATCTCAAAACAATTATGCTGAGTGAAAGAAACCAGACCAAAAAATATACTATGTGATTCTTTACATAAAATTCTTAAAAATGAAAACTAATCCAGAGAGAAAAAAAACACACTAGTGGTTGCTTGGGGATGAGGGTGGGAAGTCAGGGAGAGGCAAGAGGAGGGATTACAAGGGGGTATGAGAAAATTTTCAAGGGTGAAGGATATGTCCATTATGATTGTAGTGATAGTTACACAGATATACACATATTTCAAAACTTATCAAATTGGTCCTGGGTTCAATCTCTATACCAGCCAGCCACCAAAAGAAAAAAAAAAACAAACATCAAATTGTACATTTTGAGTATGTGGTGGTATTATATGTTAATTATATCTTAATAAAGCTGTTTAGAAATAGAATAATAAAAATTTCAAGAGAATGTTAGTGTAACAAATCATGACTAAAAACATGTACATGGGGGCCAGCCTGTGGCTCACTCGGGAGAGTGCGGTGCTGATAGCACCAAGGCCACGGGTTCGGATCCCATATAGGGATGGCCAGTTGGCTCACTGGCTGAGCGTGGTGCTGACAACACCAAGTCAAGGGTTAAGATCCCCTTACCGGTCATCTTTAAAAAAATAATAATAATAAATAAATAAATAAATAAAAATAAATAAAAAATAAATAGCAATACTCTCAGATTATAACCATAGACAGTCAGCAAAGACTAATAGTAGCAGCTAAAGCTCTTGTCATAACATAGGGTGTCAAAAGTCAGGGTTATTCTTGATTTTTATATTTAGAGAAATGTTAGTTTAAAAAAAAAAAGTATGGAGGAACTTCAAGTCCAGAAGATGTAATTCTGGTTAGCCACTGGGCGTCCCATTCTAAGAGACATCAGCACCAACCCATCATGAAGTGGCGGATGGACCCGCTGCTTCCCAAATTACAATCCTGTGACTCCTCTAAATACCCAGAACCAGGAAAGCATGTCGGCACCCCTCCCGGAGGACATATGAGACCCACCAGTCTCCACACCCTTGCCTGCAGCATCCCTGCCTCTTGTTGTTTACACCTAACTATAACAACCAGTGATCTCTTACTCCGGTACTACACTTGATAGCTTCACACCCACCCAGAGCTTAGGACCTCATTGCCCATAAAGGCAGGGATTGGCTGCCTTCGAAATGGAGCGGGGTACCAATGCATTCCCTCACACTGCAGGACACCCGCCTTGGGAAAGGCGATAAAATACAGGGCTTTGGGCCCAGGCTTAGACTCCTCCACCTCACCTGACTGCTGTGGCTAATCAATCACCAGGTTCTGTTGAACCTATCCTGTCTGTGTCTTCCTTCTGGGATTCTCACTGGAAGGTAAACTCCCTGATGGCAGGGACCATGTCTCTCCTGCAGGTGTGTTCCTAGCTCCTAAAGCCATGCTGGCCCACAGTGGGTGCTCAGAAAATGGACATGATGGGATGTGAGACAGTACTACAAAAGTCACGCTGGAATCAAGTGGGTGATCCTATCACACAGCGTGTGTTTCCTTACCCCGAACCAGGAGGTTCTGAGCCAGCTCCTGGGTCCTGGTACTTCTGCTCCACTTCTAGCATTAAGCCAGTTTCCTCGGTGGCAATATGCTCTGTCTCAGGTGGGCTGGGTCAGAAACCAGGTTGAATGCCACCACCAATCCATCTGCTTTCCAGCAATCTGATCTCCTTCAGCCTTTGCTACTTATTTCTTGGAATCTTGCAGAAGCCTCTTGGCTGGCCCCTTGGGCTCTAAGTTCTCCCTGTTTGATTGCATTCTCCCTACCCCTCTTAAAACCATCAATGTTCCTCTTTCAATCTTCTTAGCCAGACATTTAAGGCCTTCCATTCTGAGTCTGCTCTGTCTCCCTGGCCTTTTCTGGCCACTTGCTGCCACTCTGCCCTCCTCCCACACATCACTTGCTGGTCAACAGCCTCAGGCTCTCCCACTCCATATGTGGGCTCCCATCACCTCCTCTCCTATAGAGCTGGTAGGGGCTGGGCATACAAAGAAGGCACCAGACCTTATGGCCCAGAGTATGGACTTTATAGCAAGACAAATCTGAGCTCAAATTCCAGCTCTCACAGTTAATAATTTGCAGCACCAGTTGGGTGAGTTATATAGTAACCTCTCTAAGTATGTTTGTTCATCTTTAAAATGGGGATAGTTTGTGAAGATCGAGCCAGAAGTGTAAAAATATCAGCATGGTGCCTGCAGGAACTAGGCACTTTGATCAGCTCTCATCTTTGTTGTTATATGCTTTAATTTGCTCAGTATATCTTTGTTGGGGACACCCCTGAGGGGTCCTGTGAGGGGTCCCAGTCTCAGGCCACAGTTGCACTAGTTGCCTCTGGGGCCCTTGCTCTTTGGGGCTCCTCTCACAGTTGCTGGCCAAGCCCCCTACCCCACCCTTCCTCTGCTTTATATTCTTCCCAGGTTTATGAACCAAAGACCTTACTTCCTACACTCACCAAACTTGGCCCCAGTGACTTTTGGTCATTCCCATGACAGGGATTGTTCACAGGCATCTGCTCCAGGCTTCAGCATGGGATTTCCAAGCAGCAGTGGCAGTGCCCAAGGGACAAGGGGTCAGTGCTCACCTGGGTGTGTGGGTGACTGGAGTGTCATGAGATCCCAATCTCCCTTCCTCAAGGTCCCAAGGGGATTATCCTTGGCACTGACTTCATGTTCCCTGGAACTTTGGGGTACACCTCTGTCTCTCCTCTAGACTGACAGCCCTTTGAGCAATGGGCCTGTTCTTTGTGTCCCCAGTGCCTGGCACCCAGCAAGGTGGTAGCAGGAGAGGATGAGGAGATTTCAGCAGAAATGTGCAAAGTTCAGTTTGGATGACGTTGAAACTGTAATTTCTTTGGGGGCCGGCCTGTGGCTCACTCGGGAGAGTGCGGTGCTGATAACACCAAGGCCACGGGTTCGGATCCCATATAGGGATGGCCGGTTCGCTCACTGGCTGAGCGTGGTGCTGACAACACCAAGTCAAGGGTTAAGATCCCCCTACCGGTCATCTTTAAAAAAAAAAAAAAACAAAAAACTGTAATTTCTTTGGGGGCCGGCCTGTGGCTCACTCGGGAGAGTGCGGTGCTGATAACACCAAGGCCACGGGTTCGGATCCCATATAGGGATGGCCGGTTCGCTCACTGGCTGAGCGTGGTGCTGACAACACCAAGTCAAGGGTTAAGATCCCCCTACCGGTCATCTTTAAAAAAAAAAAAAAACAAAAAACTGTAATTTCTTTGGGGGCCGGCCTGTGGCTCACTCGGGAGAGTGCGGTGCTGATAACACCAAGGCCACGGGTTCGGATCCCATATAGGGATGGCCGGTTCGCTCACTGGCTGAGCGTGGTGCTGACAACACCAAGTCAAGGGTTAAGATCCCCCTACCGGTCATCTTTAAAAAAAAAAAAAAAACAAAAAACTGTAATTTCTTTGGTTGTCCCCTTATTTGTGAAAATTGACAGAATTTGTGGAAGGAGAACATAGCCAGGACCAGAGTTGGGGTGCTCAGGCTTGGCCTGAGGATAGCAAGGAACCATGGGACTTTGTCCCATGGTCCATAGGAATGTGGCAGAAGGGGCCCTGGTCAGGAGTCAAATGGATCATGCTCAACTCTGAGCAATGACACTTACTAACCCTCTAACCCCGGGCAAATTGTTCTGCTTCTCTGAGTTCTCTGCATCTGCTAAATGCAGATGAAAATACTCTCCTTGCCCATTTCATGAGGTAGCTGTGAAAAACCTAGAAGAAATTTGGAAATTGTAAAAGGCTATATAAATAAAAGGGACACTTGCTGGTGGCACTTTCTGTGGATTGTTGAGTCTTTCTTAGGGCCATCCAGAGGGCAAGACCCTCAGGCCCCAAGCCCACTGCCAATGTAATCAGGCCTGTTGCCTGTGAGATGCAGGCATATGTCAACCTCTGCAGGATACAACCAGCCCAGTGGTAGGCGGAGCAGGGGCCCACAGCCACCAGGACACCCCAGGCCCGTCTGAGCACCACATAGGCTGAACTGGTGTCAGGGAAATGAGAGAGACCCAGCTTTGAGTGTGTGCTCCAAGGAGGTTTATTAGTATCCACACTGGGGAGCCAGGTTCTTGCCCAGGACAAGGAGATGAGAGCATCCAGACAGGAAAGCAAGGCCACCACAGGCGACAGGCCTGGCACCCATGGGAGAGTGATGTTTCTGCTGCAAGCACAGCCAATTCACCCTCCTTTGCCCTGCCTTTCTCCTCCTGAAAAGGTAGGGGTGTCCTCTGCATGGAGAAAATGAGGTCCCCAGAGGCTTCCCGACTTGCCCAACATCAACCAGCCCCCTCAGAAATCTGGATCCAGGCTCCCTGTCTGCTCCCCCACCTTGGCCAGGATCAGGAACCGCACATTCTGCAGAGTCAGCCCTACCCTGACCCAGACAGCCTCCGGCTCACTCCTCAACCTGACGACTAAAGTCTGGAGTGGATAAATTCTATCAGGTTCTCCAACTGCTCCTCCAGGTGCTGCTCATCTCCGTGGTTCTCGATGACCCAGTCAAAGCTTCCAAAGTTGTCCAGGCCACACTCTGACTCACCATCATCCACCCCTGTAGAGGAGGCATGGCAAGGTCAGGCCCCAGCCCCCCAGACAAACACCAGGCACCAAGGTCTGCAGGCCCCAGATGGAGTGGGCCCTATCCTGACTTCTCCTCTGCTACCCCAGAGCCAAGCTCTACCCAATCCAGAAGGTACTTCCCCCCTCCCCCCGAAACACTGTGATGGCAAGCTTAGCAGCCACAGCCACCTGAGCCCCCAGATGGTCCCTGCTAACTTGACTCTTCACTTGCCACTACCTACAGAGGGCGGATTTGGTCATCTAACACCACAGACAACCCAAAGGGGCATTGCATTTTCATTTTAGGTCAAGGTGGTTGAGTCCACTTTTATCCCTAAATCTGTCTGATTGAATCCCCTTGGGAGGCAGTGTGAGCCAGGGATAGAAGCAGAGGGCTGAGAGTCTAGCTCCTTCCCTCACTCTTTGTGACCTTGGAAAGAGATTTAAACTTTTTGGGCTGCTGCCCTCATCGGACCATGGGTATGGCAATAAGTTTCCACCTGGTGGATTTGCTGTGATGATAAAGTGAGATGTGTACAAAGTGTGTGGCACAGGCCAGGCCTGTGTGAGTGCCCAGGAGATGAGCAGCTGTCAGTAGTGGTCATACCCACTGGACCTGAACTTCTCCAAGGCACAGTGACCTAGGGTGGGAAAAAGGCCTGAGTTGTGCCTCTGAACTGCCCACAGAGCAGGTCCTGTTACAAAGGTTTGTACCACTGAAGCTTCTAGGGGAGCTCCTCTCTGGCTCCCACTACTGTATTAATCAAACAGGAGTGAGGTTTTCAAGCTTGTGCCCTCTGCCCACAGTTAGCCCCCCACCAGGCTGGAAAGCAAAGGTGAAGAACCATGGGATGGGTCCCAATCAGACCTCCAGAGACGCCACGGGCCTTGAGAAGACAGCCCAGATAAGGAGACCAGGCCAAGGTCACAGGAGAACCTTCACCCCCAAGGACAACCTCTGCCAAACCACTCCCTAATCTGGAGACCTGGCACTCCTGAGCCCCCAGCCTCAGACTCTCCTTTATAATCCCTCACTCATTCCCCACAGGCCTGCCAGGGAGAGAGCAGGAGACCTAGAGCAGAGGGTGGGTAGCCTATGCCCTGCACATGGGGTGGCTGACCTGAGTGCTGAGCCTTGGGGATCAAAGTCATGAGCAGCTCACCTGGTGTGAACACCCAGCCACGCTGCTGTCGGGTCTGCTCCAAAGCTACCACGCGGACCGTCTGTGTCGAGGCCCCGTAGGTCTCCTGAAACCACTGGATGTCAGATACCCTCCGTGTGTCACTTACCAGCTGCAGGATAGGGAAACAGATAGGTGATCAATAGGAGAGGGTGCTGGAGGTGAGGGGAAGTGGGAGACTATAGAACCCAGAGCAGTGGTGCGGCTCTACCCCCATCATTGTGAACATGTCAGCAGCATGTCCTCTTTTTACATTCATTGAACACATGCTATGAGTGCTGATTACGTGGCAGGTGGCGCTGCTGACATGTTCATTCACTCAATCATTAAACAAGTTTTTTGGGGGGTCTATTTTTTTTTTTTTTTGGTGGCTGGCCGGTATGGGGATCCAAACCCTTGACCTTAGTGTTATAACACTGCTCTCTTACTAACTGAGCTATCCAGCCAGCCCTAAACAAGTATTACAGCAAGCACCTACTTTGTGCCAGGCACTGTGCTCGGTGCTGAGGATAGAGTGGTGAGCAAAACCACTTGTGCCTGCCCTCTAGGAGCGAATGGTCTAGTGGGAGACACAAACACTAAACAAGCAGCTTCCCAAATAACAGTGTGATCACAGAGCATATTGACAAGCATCCCAACCTCAACACAGCCAAAACTCAACTCTTGATTTCTCTCCAATCTTGTTCCTCCCACACCTTCCTTGTCTCAGAAAATGATAACTCAATTTGTCCAGCTACTCAGAACAAAATCCTTGGTACAATCCTGTATCCTCACACTCCATCGCCAACCAACCCATTAGCAAATCCTATTGGCTCCATCTTCAAAATATGTGCACTCTCCACTCTACCACCACTCTGAGCCCAGCCACAGTCACTGTGCCCGTGTCACAGACAGATCCTCTACCTGGCCTCTCCACTTCTGCTCCTGTCTTCCCAGCAACCAGGGTGAGCCTTTTAAATCTTAAATCAGATCGTATCTCTCCTCTGCTCCAAACCCTGCAATAACGCCCCATCTCACTCAGATTAACATCCAGGCCCTTCCAAAGGGCCTGCCCGATCTGATCTTACCTCCTACCACTCACCCTCACCCATTCTGGCCCCAGCTCTTCTTCAAACACAGCAGGCACATGCCCTACTCTGGGCCTTTGCACTCCCTGCTCCCTCTTTCTGGGAGGTTACTTCCCCAAATATCTGTTCAGCTCACTCCCTTATTTCCTTCAGGTCCCGCTCAGATGTTATTGTAACAGTGAGGCCTTCCCTGACACCCTTCATAAAACAGGAGCCCCTCCCCAGCCTCCTTATAGCCTAGATTTGCTTTATTTTGCTCCTCAGTATTTCTCTCCACCTGACACAATCTATATTTATTTTGTACCTACTTTCCCACCCCCAGCTATAACATAAGCTCCTTGGGGGCAGGGACTTCATCACATTTTTGTACCAATGTATCCCCAGAACCTGGAACCATGCCAGGCATCATTAGATACTCAATATTTACTGCCAGAATGAATGAGGAAGGAAAGGGGTAGGGTGTTATGGGAGCATCTGTCAGGGAGCACCAGTTAGGACTTGGATATATGGGAAGGCTTCCCTGTGGAGGTGATATGTAAACTGAGCAGGAGCTAACCAGATGAAGAGAGAAAGAAAGGGCAGTCCAGCAGGTGGAAGAACATGTGCCCATGCCCTGATTCCAGAAGGAGCTAGATTCATTTGAGAAAGAGAGAGGCCACTGTAGCTGCAGCTGAAGGAGTAAGGAGGCTAACAGGGGAGCAGGAGGTGGATCATACGACGCCCAGAAGTATACGTTAAGGACTAGGATTTTGTTCATAAGAACAATGGGAAGCCACCAAAGTGTTTTAAACAGAAAGACTGACATGACTTGGTTTATGTTTTTAAAAGGCCTTTCCGGCTGTTGTGTAGTGAATGAATCACAGAAGGCAAGAGCTGAAGCCGAGGACCAGGGTGGAGCTACTGCAATTATCTGGGTGAGAGATGGTGAGGCTTGGACTAGAGTGATGGCAGTGAAGACACAGAGACACGGACACAGCGGAGGGCTGGGGAAACCGGTTTTCTTCACGTTGCCATGGGGCCCTCTTACCCAGATGGGCTGGGACACGCCCTCCACAATCTTCCTGCAGAAGAAGCCTGGGTCGGCCTGGCGCTTCTCCTCCCCCCAGCAGATCATGTCCCTCCGATAGGCCTCCTTGTAGGTGCTGGCATCCAAGAGTCTCTGGAAGTTCAAGCCGTGCTCCTGCCCAAAGCACATTATGTCTATTCCACTAGCCTTTCAACCTCCCTGGTCTCTCCTAACACAAGGAATAGCCATCCCTGTCCTCATCACCTCTTCCAAGGCCAATGCAAGGACTTATGAGTTTTCAGCCAGGACAAAGGTCTGCAAGGGAAAGGGCCCTAGAAACTAAATATCCTAGTCACTGGCAGATGGAAAAAAGGTCTTGGAATAATCCAGAATTGTTCCAATTCGTCTTTGAAATACGTGACATGGTTTTCTCTTTTGCACGTTTTACCTTCCCAATTATTTCTGGCTTAAACTAATCCTCAAATTAGTTTGTACTCCCTGGGCACAGGCTTAGCCTTCAACTAAAGTGAAAATCTGAAAAAAAACTGTATTTCATGTCCTCCATTTTGGCATCATTTGCCCCCAGCCCAAGTTGCAGGGAGATTGTGTGTCTCCCTCCTTTCCCCTACGTCCCCTTTCCATCCTCAAATTCCCGACACCTTTACTGAAACATCATTACTCCATTTGGCTCCGGTCACTCCAAGGGCTTCCCACACCCAGAGGAGCCCTCAGGCAGAATGGATTACTCTGACCATCCTGGAGAGCTGCTTCCAGACCTGGCCTCCCCTTCTCCTGGGAAACTGATAAGCAGAGGGTCCATCCAGAGGGCCCAGGACAGGAAGGGAACTGAAAAGTAACACCCACTTCAGGTTCTGGCCCCCCTACTAACTCACTGCAGCAAGACCTTCTCCCCTCAGGCTCTCAGTTTCCTGATCACCCACCCGCTTGTTCCCTCTTTTCTGAGGTGAGGTCAGCAGCCACCTCCTGCTATGATCTGGTTTCCCTCCAGGAGCACCATGATTTGTTTGTCAGTCATAGTTTCCATTGTGACTTAAATCAATGCACTAACATTTCATTTTGGTTTTGTTTTTTAATGGGAGTGGGAATGGAGTAGTGCTGGACTTCCAAACAGCAAGGGCAGACTGGCCTATCGGAGTCTCCTAGCGAGGTTTTAAAAACGCACACTTAGCTCAATTGGTTAGAGCACGGTGTTATATAACACCAAGGTCAAGGGTTTGGATCCCCACGCTGGCCAGCTGCAAAAAAAAGGCAAACTTGGGCTGGCCCGTGGCTCACTCGGGAGAGTGTGGTGCTGACAACACCAAGGCCACGGGTTCAGATCCCCTTACCGGTCATCTTTAAAAAAAAAAAAAAAAAGCAAACTCCTGCCCCTTCCTCCCCTTCACCCTCCTACCCTGTCCCCCACTCCCACCCAGCCTGGCTCAATAGGTCTAGAGCAGGGCCTGATCTGAGAACTTTGGAAGTAGATCAGTGGTTTTGAAACTGCTCCCTGTAGGACTTCTAAAGTGCCCAGCCCCACTGGGAAGACTGAGTACCTCCCATTTTGCCCTCTTCCTACTCCCCCTCCCTCCCAATCAGAGTCTCTCCCAGTCTGTCTCTTGGATACAAGGAACTTCTGCATTCAATTTCTTTCTTTCTTTTTTTTTTTTTAAAAAAGATGACCAGTAAAGGGATCTTAACCCTTGATTTGGTGTTGTCAGCACCACGCTCTCCCAAGTGAGCAACCGGCCATCCCTATACAGGGATCCAAACCCGTGGCCTTGGTGTTATCAGCACCACACTCTCTCCCAAGTGAGCCATGGGCCGGCCCCTGCATCCAATTTCATTTAGGAAAGGTTCCTGCTAAAAAAGTTTGAAAACCAGGGCCGGCTCGTGGCTCACTCGGGAGAGTGCCGTGCTGATAACACTAAGGCCATGGGTTTGGATCCTATATAGAGATGGCCGGTTGGCTCACTGGCTGAGCATGGTGCTGACAACACTAAGTCAAGGGTTAAGATCCCCTTACTGGTCATCTTTTAAAAAAAAAAAAATTTGAAAATAACTGAACCTGGTTATCCCCAGGATCCCTCCATCTGCCACCCTCTGAATGGGTCTGCTCAGCTGGTGAGAGAACACCCAATGGAACAGGACAATGTTTCCCATGGAGGTAGGGCTGTCGTATAGAAGAGGGCACAAATTCATTTTGGGTGGCCCCAGTGGCCAGATTCAGGCCAACTGACTGAGTGGCCATGAGCACAAGTCCCTGGAAGGGTGCACCTAGGGCCAAAATGTAGGTGACCAGCGGGCTCTTCGCTGTGTGGGAAGCTGATCTCACCCTCCAGTCTCCCTTTCTGACGTCTAGATTCTGAGAGTTCCTATTTGTTTTTTTTAAATCCTATTTTAACAATCCTAATTTTTTTAATCAACATGGTTCAGAATCCAAAAGATACCCATTCATTTACAGTGAAAAATCTCTCACCAGAGGCAATCAACGGTGCAGTCTCTTACGTATCTTTCCTGGGCAGTAATTCTTGGTTACAAAGTCCTTCCCAGATTTCCTTTTCAGTTTTATACAAATGTAGTATTCTCTACACACTGTTCTATATCTTTTTTTGTCTGTTTGTTTTTTCATTTAACAATATATCTTGACAACTCCCATGACTGGATTTCTAAGGGCAGAATTCCAGGCCTTTTGTCAGGCCAGCTTTGGGGAAGGTGATGTGAGGTGTCATATCTTTTTAGTAAGGGGACGTGTACAGATCCTTACTCATCACATGGCATCAGAGCTGCCGCCTCAAGTGTCTACAGCTTTTCCTAGACACACTTTCTTGAACATGCCCTGGTGAGGTAGCCTGGAGTGAGTGAGGCTCCTGGGAAAGAAGCTTAAGCTGAAAATGCCCCCACAAGGCCCACCCACAAAATACTAAGAGGTGGCCACCACCCTGCCAGCAACAGTCACAGGGACTGTGCCAGTGACTCAAGTGGCAGCCATAGCTCCAAAGCCCAGGAGCCAGGTCCTCTCAGCCTACGAGATGCCACACAGCCACTACCTACCTGAGCGTACTGCTTCTTGAGTGGACCAGAGAGCCGGAGGACAGCACAGACATCAGCTCCAAGTCTGTGGGACAGGGAAACCAGAATCCCATGAACTGAGACCCTCCAGCAGCTTCCTGGCCCTGGAAGAGGAGTCCCATTTCTACTGCTGGTATTTATGTGACCTGGCAGGCCTCAACTGCCCTGATCCTATTTCCTCAACTATAAAATGGAGAAAACAGTTTCTGTTCTGTCTCCCATACAGGATTATTATGAAAGTCAAATGAATATAAAAGATCCTGAAACTAACAGGCAAAGCCTATAAAATTATAATTACAGTGTGAACATCCAGACCTGGTGATATTCTGGCTAGATTAGGTTACTTCTTGAACCCTGAACTACTTTCTCTCATAGCCAGGGGTATCACAGTCTCAAATGACTTGGTCACCACAACATAAATAATTCCTTCATTCAGTTATTCAGTTCACTTACCCAAACATTTAGTGGGTACTATATTTAACCCAGGTGACACAAATGTGAATAAGAGTCATGATTCCTGCCCTGGCCAACATGGTAAGGTAAGAGTTTATATTTCCATGTTTCAGATGAGGAAACAGGTTGAGAAAGGAGGACAGACTCATACAAAGAAACACTGTAAGCACTGAAGCCAATATCAGTAAAATAAAAGCAGACAACATTTCGTTCCTGAGCCTAGGTGCTAAGAATTGTCCTAAGCCCTTCACATGCACTGTCTCATTTAATCCTTACAACCACCCTATTAACATCCCCATTTTACAGATGACAAAACCAAGGCACAGAGTGGATACGAGACCACACACTAATAAGGAATTTGAATCTCAGCAGCCTAATTCCAGAGCCTGTGCTTCTGACCACTATTTGACTTCTGTGTTTGGGGGTAAGGAGAGATGTAACTTAAGAAAAGGTGGTGAGATACTTGGTGGTGAAAGATTCAGGTGGTGACTTCTGCCCTGGGCTCCCCCACAACCCCTTGGAACCCCTGTGGTACCCAAAAGCAGCCTCCTGGTACCCCATCACACAGGCCTTCAAGAGGAGAGGAGTCCCACTCCATTTTTTCCCTGCTCCTCTGCTCTTCTAGCCATGTCCCAGCAAAAATGCTCCCACACAGAATACCTTGCTTCAAAAGAAAACACTGAGCTAAAAGTATTATTATTATTCGGAAAGGACGTGAAGTAAAGCAAAAAGAACCCAGTCTGTGGAGCAAGACAAAGCTGAACTTGAATCCTGGATTGGCCACCTGCTTTGTGACCCTGGCAAGTCTTTTGTTTGTTTTTAACTTTCAGAGCCTCAGCTTCTTTATCTGTGAAATGGAGATGTAAATAATATCACACAATAACTAACAAAGAGGTTATGAGGAGTAAATTAGATAATATGTACACACAGTGCCGGGCACATAATAAAGGCTCAATAAACCCCAACTATTAGGTGCTGTGCTGGGCAAGGATCCTGTCTTTGGAATTAGACACACTGGGGTGTGGTTTTAGACAAATCCCTTATCTACGCCTCGTTTTCCTCATCTGTGTCAGGAGGATTAGGAATGTTATACAGGAAGTGCCTTTGTAGTCACTGTTATTAACGCCTCTTGGAGAGAGAGACCTACAGCTTCAGGTCTTTGGAGAGGTGGTCACCTGGTTCTTTGAAGCAGACGTGTGTAGACTGCAGTTTTACGTGATAGTGACAATCCTCCACCTTCTCCCGCCCAGTGCTCCTCCTGACCTGCAACCGTAGGACCCTTACCCCAAAGCACAGTCCATCACACCCAAACACGCCCCTCGTGTCACGTGATGCGGAGAGCTCCCCTTCCTCCTTCCCCGCCCCACGGACACCTGGTCTGCAGCGCCTCGGTCACAAAGTCCTTCCCAGATTTCCTCTTCCCGCTGAACAGCAGCACCAGCCGCGGGGAGCTTCGCAGGGGAGCCATGGGGCCGCCAGGGTTTGCGATTCCTAAAGCTGACACTTCTCCCCACCCCTTAAATCGGGCCACCCGTCACGAAATGGACGTGGCCACTAGATGGAGCGGCCACAAAGAGGGATTGAGCCCTCTCTTCTCCACAGCTGTGGAGAAGACTGACAGCCCGCACATGTGCTCTGTACATGTTAATTCACGCCTAAGCAAATACCGAAAGACGGAGAAACAAGTTTATTCTCAGTGCAGCCTTCTTCCCTAGAGAGGCTCCCCTACACTACTCAGTTAGAACAGTCCAGCCCCGCCCAGAATCTTACGTCACAGCCCCGCCTTCTTAACTGACACCGCGGGACCAACTGGATGCAACCACTCCCCTCTAAGGGAGATGACGTCTTAAAATTTCCTAAGGTGAACCTCACATTACCCTCCATTCAACCCTGCAAACATTACTAAAAAAAACAGCCAAAGTGGTAATGTTGAAGACGTTTTCAAACTGCCTGTTTATTTGTGCATTATAATGCATGTGCTAAAGCAAATCTTAATTTCCCCCACAGTAAAAATGGATCTTTCTGCAGACGTAACGAGGCGATGATTCTATAGGGTTGTCTGGTGACGTCACCATGAGGGCGTGACTTAGTCCAACACGCGCTATATTATTGTCAGGTTTTATAACTGAAGAAGCCGCTAAGATTTGCCCTATAAGCCCAGCGAGAAACCTTTCATCCTTTTCTAGCCGCAGCCTTCTCTCCAAAGGTTTCCGGAGGCTAGAGAGCTTCGAATGGCGTGGGTGATATCAATAACAAAAGTTAAAAGGGGGCTTTGAAGCCACTCTGGACGAGATTACCCAGTTTTGTCTGCAGTCCAGCTCCCATCCAGGAGTTGGAGAGGCGGGATTAAAGGTGGTGATCAGTTCCTTCCCTGAATTCCTAATTCTGCCTCTGCCCACAGCAGCTGACACCCAGTCCCAGTTGAGTAAGTGGAGTTGTCTTTGGCTATGTCGCTGCCCTACATTTTTCTGAGTTTGTCAGAACAGAGCCTGCAACCTATTACTGCCTCCATTTTATAGGACTACAAAGTCGTGTAAAGAGAAAAAGTGAATTGTAGACACCTAATTTAGGAGAAATGATTAATTCTCTGAATATTGAAAAGAGGCACAAAGAGTGGTCAGATGCAAAAAGAATGAACTTAGGGTCTTTTTTTTTTTTTTTTTTTTTTAAAAAAAAAAAAAAAGCCCCTAAGTTCATTTTTTTTGCATCTGACCCCTTTTTTTGCCTTTTTTTAAATTTCAAAAAATTAATTTTTTGAAATTTAAAAAAAGGCAAAAAAAGGGGTCAGATGCAAAAAAAATGAACTTAGGGGTTTTTTTTTTTTTTTTTTTTTCTAAGCAATGAAGAAAGTACTGCACTCATCAGTGCACTTAGAATTCAGCACAGAGTGGAAAGAGCTTTCACACTTTGCAGGAATGTGACCTTCAGCAAGTCACTCCCAAGTTTACCATTGATAATGCCCACCTCACATGGTTACAGTAAAAAGGAAATGAAGAAAATATGTGATAAAGTACAATAAAATACTTTAGAACTTACTCTGTTCTAAAGTACTCTTCAAATGTAAGGGGTTATTTATTCTTAGCACCTTGTGATTTTAGTTTTTAATTCAACACAGGATCAGATTTCCCATCTGGTCTTCAGTAAACATTTATCTAGGACTCCACTGAAAGCCCAAATCTCAACTCTGCCAGCAGAGAGTAGGGTAGAATAACTCCACTCTCACTTTCCTGCTTACTTGAGTCACCACTAGGAAAGGAGTCAGAACTTCCTCCCACAGTCTCTTCCCTCACCTGACCCAGCCTATCTCCCCCATTCCTCCCTCCCCAACCCTGGAATCAAGCTCCCTAGAATTCCCAGTCAGTGATCAGAAAACTTCCCCCATATCCTAGCCTCTTCTCAGAAGTTTCCCTCCTGCGGCCTGTCTCAACTGATCTGACTGCCCTTTCACATGGAGACTTTTTATTCTCCCCCAGCCCTTTTACCTCAGCATAGACTTTGAGTCTGTGGTCTCCCTCCCTCCTTCCCTCCCCATCACCGTTTCCAGACCATTGCTCTCTCTGCCTCTTAAAAAACTGACTCCTCTAAGGCTCACTGGGCTGCACTTTTCCCCTCCTCAGCATTGACAACCATCAATCTGATGGTTCATTCTCTTGCTGAGAGTTAGCCACTGGCTGCCAGTCTCCTCCACCCAGTTCCTGTCATCATTCTCAGTGACTTTACTGTCCCCCATCCACCACCCTGCTGCTCAATTCCTTGGCCTCGGCTGTTCAAAGCCTTTTTCCTTCTCTCCTCCTCAGACACCAGCTCCTGTGGACACACCCTGGGCTTTCTCATCACCAAAAGCTGTTCAACCTGCAAATTCACATACTCAACCCTTCAAGGTCACTTGTTCAAATATTGCCCAAAGCAGTGCTTCCCTCCCAAGTCCACCACTAACCCATAAAACTATATTATATAAATCTGCTCTGCCTTCCTTCCACCACCAAGACGAACGTCAAACAAGTTAATGTGTGGAAAGTGTCTGTAAGCTGTAGAGCGCTGCACAAGTATAAGGCACTATATGAAGGCTGGATGCTGGTGAAGGGGAGGCAGGAAAGAGGGAAGGAGAAGGACTGTCTGACAGAAGCAGCAACAACAGGGAGAAGGGAGTGGCCACAGTCCTTGGGGATATAGATTGAGAGCCAGGGGTGTCTGACACCACTGCCTCATGGGAGTTTCAGGAAGATGATGCTTGAGGAAGCTGGTGCTGGCCTAGGACAACAGAGAGGTGCTTGCAGAACTCAGGAACACAATTACCCCTGAGAGTCAATCTCCACTAAAGGGGCAGCCCATTTAAAAAAGAGAGGTTTGGGCTGGCCCGGTGGCTCACTCGGGAGAGTGCGGTGCTGATGACACCAAGGCCCCGGGTTCGGATCCCATGTAGGGATGGCCGGTTCGCTCGCTGGCTGGGCGTGGTGCTGACAACACCAAGTCAAGGGTTAAGATCCCCTTACCGGTCATCTTTTTTTAAAAAATAAATAAATAAATAAATAAAATAAAAAAATAAAAATAAAAAAGAGAGGTTTGCCTCATTAACCGAGAGGACAGCATGGAAGTCAAATCGCAGCCTATTTAAAGGAATACTCCTCACTGTATTAACAGAGACAGTTTGAGCCTGCAGGGGACTACCTCATCAGCTCTGCAGAGCCTAGAAGAGGGGGCAGCTGTACCTTGTCAGTGCCCCTCCAAACCCTGCCCAGGTGGAGGAGCCCTGAGTAAGGGGGTACCAAGGTTAACCCCCCCAGGGCAAGCCTATATGATAGTGGAACCAAATGCCATCCATTCTGGCTCAGTAACACCACCAACTGCCCTTGCTTCAACTCCATGCTTCTGATTCCAGTTTATTTCCCCTGGCCAATGCCCAGCTGACCCAGGCATTCCCCTCTGCCAGTGCTTGTAACTGTAAATGTGGTTTCTAATCAGTCCTCTTGAGTTTGATAACCATTGCTCCAGGGCCGGCCCGGTGGCGCACTGGATAGTGCGCCGCTTGGGAAGCGCAGCGGCGCTCCCGCCCGAGGGTTCGGATCCCACATGCAGACCGGTTCCCGCTCACTGGCTGAGCGAGGCACGGGAGCGACCCCGAGGGTGGCGATCCCGTTGCCGGTCCCCAGTCCGGTACGGGGGCGACACTGAGGGTTGCGATCCGTTGCCGGACACGGAAAAAGACAAAAAAATAAATAAAAAATAAAAAAATAACCATTGCTCCAGAGGCAATGGAGTCTGGAAGACAAGGGATAGAATGGGGTGGGAATTGTAAGGAAGTAATATAACATTGTTAACACCAAGATTAATAGTTCAGATCCCATACCGGCCAGCAGCAAAAAAAAAAAGAAGAAGAAAAAGTCACATGACAGGGAAAGAGAAGGGGAGGCTGAGTCTTTGGGGACCTGACTGAAGATGTCTATTCATTTATTCATTCATTCATTCATTCAACATGTACATAAATATCTAAAATGTACCTGGTACTGCTAGAGACACAACAGTGAACAAAACAGAATTTGCTCTCAATGAGCATTCATTCTAGTGGGAAATAGTTACAAGACAGCTTAAAAATGGAGTACTGAAAGTCTTTATTCCAAAACTGGAGAGGGAAGGTTGATATAAAGAAAATGGCTTGGGCAGGCCCGTGGCTCACTCGAGAGAGTGTGGTGCTGATAACACCAAGGCCATGGGTTCGGATCCCATATAGGGATGGCCAGTTAGCTCACTTGGGAGAGCGTGGTGCTGACAACACCAAGTCAAGGGTTAAGATCCCCTTACCGGTCACCTTTTTAAAAAAAAAAATAGAAAAGAAAAGAAAATGGCTCAAACAATCCTTCCTCATGTCATGTCCTTTGCCTGAAACACCCTTCTCATCTTTTTTGTGTGTAACAAACACCTACATGTATTTCAACACCTAGCTTGTCCTCCAGGGACCCTTCCCTGACTTCTCTCTCACTAGTCTGACTTAAATACCCATTTTCTATGCTCCTGATATACCCTGTGTTATCCACATCATAGTATCTTATTCTATACTATAATTATCAATTTATTCATGTCTCTCCCCCCAGATAGCTAATAGTTCACATTTATTGAGTACTTACTATGTGCCAGAGCTTTTCTCACTTAATCAAAAAAGGAGATTGAGGACCGGCCCATGGCTCACTTGGGAGAGTGTGGTGCTGACAACACCAAGTCAAGGGTTAAGATCTTCTTACTGGTCATCTTATTTTTTTTTTAAAAAAAAAGGAGATTGAAAGATTTGCTTCAAAGTCAGGAGTTCTAAGTGGTGAAGCCAGGTCTGTCTAGTTCCAAAGCCAGATGTCTTCCAGGCCAGGACAGCCTGCTAGACACAGCAGGCCCGGCCCCCACAGGCTAAAGTAGTAGCTCCTTCCCTGTGTTTCTCTCCCTAGCACTGTACTTAACACTTTAAGCAGTTGCTGGCATGGCCCAGGGTGAGTGCCCCATAAGTGACTGATGAATAAATGAGTGAACAAAT